ATATAGAGTTCAAAACCACGGTTATAAGGTTTTTCAAGAATTTTCTAGAAATCGCTGATAAATTTAGTGAGACCCTCCATAAATCTAGTGGATATGAAAAAGAAATTAAGACACTAGAAATTAAGCATACACTGACTGAAATAAAGAATATCATACAGAGATCCAACAGCAGACTAGAGGATCGCAAGAGTCAAGTCAAAGATTTGAAATACGAAGAAGCAAAAAACACCCAACCGGAAAAACAAAAAGAATCCAAAAATATGAAGATAGTGTAAGGAGCCTCTGGGACAACTTCAAGCGTACCAACATCCGAATTATGGGGGTGCCAGAAGAAGAGAGAGAGCAAGATATTGAAAACCTATTTGAAGAAATGATGACAGAAAACTTCCCCTACCTGGTGAAAGAAATGGACTTACAAGTCCAGGAAGCACAGAGAACCCCAAACAAAAGGAATCCAAAGAGGACCACACCAAGACACATCATAATTAAAATGCCAAGAGCAAAAGACAAAGAGAGAATCTTAAAAGCAGCAAGAGAAAAACAGTTAGTTACCTACAAGGGAGTACCCATATGACTGCCAGCTGATTTCTCAACAGAAACTATGCAGGCCAGAAGGGAGTGGCAAGAAATATTCAAAGTGATGAATAGCAAGAACCTACAACCAAGATTACTTTATCCAGCAAAGCTATCATTCAGAATTTAAGGTCAGATAAAGAGCTTCACAGATAAGAAAAAGCTAAAGGAGTTCATCACCACCAAACCAGTATTATATGAAATGCTGAAAGGTATTCTTTAAGAAGAGGAAGAAGAAGAAAAAGGTAAAGGTTCATAATTTTTTTATGAACAACAAAGACATATCTATCAACAAGTGAATCTAAAAATCAAGTGAATAAAAAAACTGATGAACAGAATAAACTGGTGAATATAATAGAATCAGGGGCATAGAAAGGGAGTGGACTGACAATTCTCAGGGAGAAAGGAGTGTGGGGGGTGCGGGAAGAGACTGGACAAAAATTGTACACCTATGGATAAGGACAATGGTGGGGGGTAAGGGCAGAGGGTGGGGTGGGAACCGGGTGGAGGGGAGCTATGGGGGGAAAAAGAGGAACATCTGTAATAATCTGAACAATAAAGATTTAATTTAAAAAAAGAAACAAATAATAACAAATTACAAAAAAAAGAATAATACAAAATAATGGTTCTTTTAGATAAATGAAAACTAAGAGTATTTATTTCCAGCAGATCCGTATTACAGGAAATCTAAAGGAAGTTTTTCATGTTGAAAACTTATGGTATCAAATGGAACTCAGTTTTTTAAGAAGGAAAGAAGAGCACTGGAGATTATAAATATGTGGGTACATAGAAAATTCTATTTTTCTTTTAATTTCTTCAACATTTATATGAGCATTTAAAGCTGAAATTATAACATCATATGGATTATGGTTTATGTAGATCTAATACAGATTATGTAGACCTGAGCACATATTATCTAAGTTCTCTGCTTCAGGGTCTTTCCCAGGACTGCTATCAAAATGTTGGCTAGGGCTGGAATCTCATCTGAAGGTTTGACGGGAAGGTTTATTTCCAAGCTTATTTACATGGATATTGGTGAAATTTGGTGCTTTGAGGGTTGTTGGTCTGAGGACCTCAGTTCTACATTGTCTGTTGCCCAGAGATTTCTCTCAGTTCCTTGCCAAATGGGTCTCTCCAAAACGGCTATTTGCTTCATCAAATCCAGAAAAAGAGTGCAGTCTTCTGGTTAAAAGCAAGTCACTAACAGGGAGGAAATTAGACAAAGCCATAAATCCCAGTAGGCAAGAATCACTGGGGCCATCTTAAAAGCTGCCTCACCCTAACTGGTTTGGCTCAGTGGATAGAGCGTCGGCCTGCGGACTCAAGGGTCCCAGGTTCGATTCCAGTCAAGGGCATATACTGTGGTTGCGGGCACATAACCAGTAGGGAGTGTGCAGGAGGCAGCTGATCCATGTTTCTAACTCTCTATCCCTCTCCATTCCTCTCTGTAAAAAAATCAATAAAATATATTAAAAGAAAAAAAAAAAGCTGCCTCCACATTTCAGATTCTACCAAAATAGAATGGCCTCCCTGGACTGTGTTCGATACCTCCTATTCTATGAAGTGTTTTTTGTTTTTTGTTTTTTTTTTTAAAAAAAACAACTTGTGAAGGCTGTGGAAGAAATACTCAAGCCCAAGGACCTGTGCCAACCTCTGTCCCCAACATGGTTTTCTGCTTCCCTCCACCCCTTGCCTATCCCTTTATTTGTAAATTATCCTCCATGTTCAAGGCCTGGCTAGAAACTGCCTCCTCCTTGAAGTCTCCCCACAGCTCTAGAGCTCCAGGTGAAAGTCTTCCCAAGTCATGACCTTGAGCACTTGGTTTAGAAGCATTGTGCTCACAGCTGCGGGTTCCATGTGTCACAAGCATAGCATGTTTATAAATAATTCTTATCTTCCCAGCTGCTCTTTTCAAGAATGATAAGCCTTTTGAAGTTTGCAGAAATTCAATCAGGACATGGAAATGCTTCCCTGGATGTCCTTCAGTGGCTTAAGAGTGGGAAGTTCCATCAGGAACAAAGGAAGGAGAAAAAGAAGTCTTCTCGGAGTGCTTTCAGCAATAATTGGATCTTGGGGACATTGATTCAGAAATATAAAAAGTTTTCTGACTTCCTATGATTCCATTTCCAAACTTTTAATCACTCCAGGGAACACAGTGGTTCTAATTACAGTGCTGATTTCAATTTTCCTTCTACATGTGCTAGTGGTTCCTTTGGGTATTTTGCCTAAAACACAGAACCAAGGCAGAGTGGAGGAAACCGGCTTTCATCACTTCTTCAGATAAGAGGCGGATATCGCAGCTTGGGCTTTCCAAACTGGTGTTGCTACTTCTGGCCCATGGCTGTCCCCAAACATAGGGACCTTTTCTCAGTAGGCTCCTGATCAAGGTAAGTGAGAGTTCTTATAAGAGTAATCCTTAACCTTTTATTAACACAGTAATATTTTCAGCTTCTGGATTTTTCTTCCAAAGGGGTGAGGGCTTGAGAAGGGAAGAAGTGAAACAATTTCGGTGGTTTCACAAAGATTGAGGGCCATACAGATCTCCTTCTTCCTGGGTCAGAAAAGCCGAGATGGCAAGAAACCTATGAAACTTTTCAGTCTCATTTCATGAACTCACTAACTTCAGAGACACCTTGAGAAATGAGAGGGTCACATGGTTTCAAAGCCTCCTCCTGTCCAACTCCTGGGAGCACCATTCACATTGTGGCCATGGAAATGGCTGGAGTTGTCCTGGAGTTATGCTTCAGAGGATATCGTTTATGTTGTCTACAATATAAGTGGGGTCTCCTGGAGCTCTGTGTCACTGTGGCTTGGAATGGAAGCGGCCTCATAGCCTGAGCAGCCCATACTTTCTGAGTCTCCCTACTTAAAGAGTAGCTCTGCTTTATATTTGAGGGTTCTGAATTTAAGAAAACAAAAGTTCTCTTTCATACCATCATTGCTCTCGTCTAGTCCCAATTCAGAAGAGGGTAACTTGAGGGTCAAAGAGAGGAAACGAGTTCTGAACTCTATATAGCAGGTTAGAAGGTTAAGCAGAATATAGCCCAAATTTGTGGCTTACGGCTGGATGACTTTCCACAAAGTCAATGTGATTCTGGAAGGAAGCTAAATGAGAAAAACTTAGAAAGTTGCCTGCTTGGTTCAATATAAAGAATTTTCTAATACTCCAGAGCTCTGCAAATAATGGAGAACACTGTTTGGTAATGTAGTGACCTCTTTATCATGTGAAGAGATAAAGCTGAAACTGAAAAGCCATGCTCCAGTGTGGTGCAGAGGATCTAGGATGGGATTGAGGGTTGGGCTAGATTACCTGGGGAGTGTAAGTAGTGGCAGGATATTAGTCTGGGTAACAGATATATATATATATAAAAGCCTAAGAGACCGTTATGATTGAACAACCAGTTGCTATGATGCGCACTGACCACCAGGGGGCAGACACTCAATGCAGGAGCTGCCCCCTGGTGGTCAGTGTGCTCCCACAACCAACCTCTTGTGGCCTGCCAACCTCCCACAGTACCTCCCCACAATGGCTCTGATCACTGGCCAGGCAGAGGGGCCCCACCCGTGCACAAATTTGTGCACCAGGCCTCTAGTATCTAATAAGAAGCTGAGCCAGAAGGCTCAAGGACTGTTAATATCCACTGATTCTTGTGTGGACACTCACCAGGAGGGAAGGAGACCTAGTAGAATGATAAATAAAAAAGCACCAAAGGAGCCTCCCGTAACTCCTATTCCCACCAATACCCTGAGTGCCCTTCCAGATGCTCTGGCCTCTCCTAAACCTTGTAGCTTCCCCTCCCTGCCAGACTGTGAGCCCATTTAAGCCTGGGCCATGGGCCACCCTTGTTGCTCATAGGAATTGTCATTTCTACATACTGGGTTATTAACAAGTGTTTTGATGGATGGCTGTTCAGACACAGACAAAAGGATGGATGGATGAATAGATGGATGGATGGAGAGCCCTGGAGATGGATGAGCAGCTCATGGTGTTGCCCATGAGAAAGGAGATCTTGGGAATGACAGGAGTATGTTTTCTGTGAGAATGATCTGGAGAAAAGAAATAAAGTGAGTATTCACAACTAATCATATCTCTAGCACCTGGCACAGTGGAAAAACATGGAGCAAACCTAAAGTCATTTTTATGATCGAAGTTTAATGAGGTGAATTGGCATATAAGACATGGAATCACTAAAATAAATGTGCTGTCTCTGATTAAATGCATTAAATGATTAGAACCACCATTTGAAACATCATAAATTTGATGTCTTATTGCTTCTTTTTCTTGGGGAGAAATAGAGACTGTGAACTCTCAGAACTGTTCTCTAATCACTCAGCCTGATTGAACTCAAGACCAGATGTCCTATGTGAGGCAAAGAATGTTGAGTTTGGATTTCAGTATTTTCTTCAGTTAAAAGAGGAGACCTACCATGGAAAGTGCCAACTGGACAGCCTCCGTGACAGAGTTTATTCTCCTGGGCCTCTCTGCCCACCCAAAGCTGGAGAAGATGTTCTTTGTGCTCATCCTGTCAATGTACCTGGTGATCCTGCTGGGCAACGGCGTCCTCATCCTGGTGACCATCTCTGACTCCCACCTGCACACACCCATGTACTTCTTCCTGGGCAACCTCTCCTTCCTGGACATCTGCTACACCACCTCCTCAGTTCCCCTCATTCTTGACAGCTTTCTGACCCCCAGGAAAACCATCCCCTTCTCAGCCTGTGCTGTGCAGATGTTTCTCTCCTTTGCCATGGGAGCCACAGAGTGTGTGCTGCTGGGCATGATGGCGTTTGATCGCTACGTGGCCATCTGCAACCCCCTTAGGTATCCCGTGGTCATGAGCAAGGCTGCCTACTTGCCCATGGCTGCCAGCTCCTGGGCAGCTGGAAGTGTTGCCTCCATAGTTCAAACATCCCTTGCAATGAGGCTGCCCTTCTGTGGGAATAACATCATCAACCACTTCACCTGTGAGATCCTGGCTGTCCTGAAGTTGGCCTGTGCTGACATCTCCAATAATGTGATCAGCATGGGAGTGACAAATGTGATCTTCTTGGGGATCCCAGTTCTGTTCATATTTGTCTCCTACATCTTTATCCTCACCACTATCTTGAGGATCCCCTCAGCTGAAGGGAGGAGAAAGGCCTTCTCCACCTGCTCTGCCCACCTCACAGTCGTGGTCGTCTTCTATGGGACCATCCTCTTCATGTATGGGAAACCCAAATCCAAAGACCCTTTGGGGGCAGGCAAACAGGACCTTTCAGACAAGCTCATCTCCCTCTTCTATGGGGTGGTGACCCCCATGCTCAACCCCATCATCTACAGCCTGAGGAACAAGGACGTGAAGGCTGCTCTGAGGAACCTGGTGAGTCAGAAAATCTTCACCCAGTGGTGTTTGGAGAACAGATGTCCCTGTAGTTCTGTTCCCATTGGCTGCTTTCACCCACCAATCTCAAAAGAACGTGTCCCCCAAAGAAGACACATGTGAGCAGTGATGCACCTGTCTGAAGTGGCTCAGTTGGTTGAGGATCACCCTGTCCACCAATGGGTTGCCACTTTGATTTCAAGTCCGAGCACATGCCTGGGTTGTGGATTTGGTCCCAGTTGGGGCACTTGTGGAGGGCAGCTGATTGATGTTACTCTCTCACCCCCCTCTCTCTCTCCTTCTTCCCGCCCTCCCTCTCTTCCACTCTATCTAAAAGCAATAGAAAAATATCCTCAGGTGATGATTAAAAAATAAAATGACCAGAAAATCAAATGACACATAAAATGGAAAATTTTACGGGACCTATTTTTTTTAATGTAAAACCTAATGGGAGAGTGACTTGAGGGAATGGAAGTGGAATGCTGCTAAACACACACACACACACACACAAATAATTAGTGACTTTTCTGATTCTCTACTGGGAACATCTGAACTCACCTTTGTGAGTAGGTTGCTCCATTTTGGGGAGAAAAACAGTTTAATGTACCTTGGTGTTACACAAAAAACAAAAATCCTACTCTGGAGACAGTGTGGGCAAAACTTCATGACATCTATAATAATAAAAGCATAATATGCTAATTAGACCAGACGTCCTTCTGGAAGTCCTTCCCTCCGGACAAAGCTGCAGTGGGCAGGGGCCAGGGCAGAGGCCACCGCTGCAGTGGCGGGGGGCCAAGGCCCTTGCACAAATTTCGTGCATCGGGCCTCTAGTAACAGTATAAAAACCTGTCTTCATTGTAGGTGAAATGGCACATTTTCAAATTTTATTTTTCTTGAAGGCAGGGCTAACATTGGAGATGAGAATGAAGTTGGTCTTCTTCCTTCCCCTGAGACTCAAAGGAGTTGGAACCATGGAGATTCCATGTTCCTTTGAGGGCAAGTAAGCCAGACCCTGTAACACAGGTGTGGAGGGTCTTAGCTTGGGAGCACTCATAGCTGAAATCCATTAATTCCATCCAGTTTTAAGGTTAATTTTCCTGCCCTCAGTTAGTCTTGTTCAAGTACATAGTCTGGCTCTGTAGCCTGGAGAGTTAAAGGATGGACCTATTGGAGGGAGTAGAGCAGGGTGCCACTGCCGTCTGAGAGAAGCCAGAATCAGAATGGTAAGGCGTGACAAGATTAAGGTGCCTGACAAGAGGTCCAGAAGTAAAATGTGTGAGGCTGTCAATCAGTAGAGGAACTAAAAAGGGCAAGCTATTGCAGGGCACAGAGCTTTGAATATCTTTTTCCTTGAAGTAATTGGATGTCCATTTTTTTTCCTGAGAATCAAGACTTTCTAATGAAGAAAGAAAAAAAAAAGCTCCTTGCCTGCCTTGCTTGGGTGCCCGGGATTCCTCCTGCCTAAGACATGGCCAGCAACTCTCTTTGGCCCCAGGGTGCTTTCCTGCGCATACTGGGCAGAAACATGGACACCAGTCACTGCCTGTGTGACCCCTTCCATAGTCTCAGGCTGTAAGAGTGAGCACATGGGGCATGTTCCTGTTTCACCATCTCAAAGACAGTGTTATCTGTGCCACCCTGGTGTGAACTTTTCTTTCCTTACTGAGCATGGAGTCGTTCCATGCACTTTTTAGCTCACTATAGAGAGGATGATACTAACTCGGGAATTAATTCCAACCTTTATAAGTCAAGAATTGACTTAAAAATGAAACATACCACCTGGTTGAGCATCAATCTATGAAACCAGGAGGTCACAGTTTGATTCCTGGTCAGGGCACAGGCCCGGGTTGCAGGCTCGATCCCTAGTGTGGGACATACAGGAGGCAACCGAGCAATTATTCTCTTATCATTAATGTTTCTATCTCTCCCTCTCCCTTCCTCTCTGAAATCAATAAAAATACTTTTTTAAAAAAACGAAACATAACTGAAGAGCAAAATTCCTTTTCAATAACTTTATTTCACTAGTTTTGACTTGGAAAACTGCCTAATTCCCACCCAGATCTTTCTATAGGACAGAAGGACGTGCTTGCTGCCAGCAGACAGCCTTCAGCTCTCAGTCATCCTCAGGAATTACTAAAGAGGGCTCTTAAGTAAAAAGAGCTGATTCGCCCAACATCATGCCCCCTTCCTCAGAGCAGCCCATATCCAAAGACCGATTCATGAGGGATATAAATGTCTTGCTCCCACTGGGACAATTCTGTAGTGCCAGCCCAGTTCTATGGGGTTGGCCAAAGCCTTTGTTGAAACTGCATCACCGTCCAACTTCTCCCTCTGCCCAGTCCTGCTTCCTGATCCTCCCTCCCACCAGTGTTGATCTCAAGGGTGCTTTCTAATGAACCTCCTGCACTCCAATCTCCATCTCAGAGTTTGCTTCCCGGCAAAGTCAAACTGTGACACCACGCAAACTCCAATGCTCAGGGAACACATGTTCTCTTTTCATAATCTGTGAACACTGGAAATACTTAGCGAAAATCATGCAGGATAGTTGGGTGAGGCAGTCTAGTGTAGTGTTAGCATCAGAAGTTTTGGAACCAGACGTTGGTTAGATTCCAGCTCCCCTTTATCATGCTTGTAATCTTAGTTTGTTTTATATTGTAGATAACTTTCTCTGGAATTTGCCCTCGCCCTGCCCACTATAGTTCAGTATTTCCCAATCTTTTTCTTGGCACGAAATACATAGAAAATAATGGGATTTGAATGGCGCCCTGGGGGTAAGTGGATGAGTCTATTCATGGGTGAAGGCAATTCACCTGGGGGCTTAGGTCACTGCATGTCCTACTCAGTGACCCTGGAGGGGCGAGGTGGAGGGGGCACTGAGCTTGGCATATCTGGAGCCTGTAGCACACCAGCTAGAAAGCCTACCAAAGGCAGAATGTCTTCTTCCTTCTCACCTGATTAAAGGACAGTCATGTCCCTTCTCCTGACCACAGATGGGTAGACTCTTGACCAAAATTTGGCTAACCATATTCTTCTCTCCAAGGAACTTGGGATTTGGATATAGAGCCCCTTGTTGGTTGGCATAAGGCTGGGGAGTGAACATACAACCTTGGCATATTGGGATGATGCTCTAACCAACTGAGCTACCCGGTCAAGGTGGCACAGGGTTCTTAAACTGAGAGACCACATAAACCCAAGACTGGTGTGGCCATGGGCCTTGTAAGACAGAGAAAGCTGGTCTGCAGAAAGAGATGTCAAATCAAGTGAATAAAGAGAACTAACCCACGAGAAAACAGAAATGGAAGCTGCAATACATGAGCTAAGACTTGAAGGCATTTTTTTCTTTCATTTTATGAGAAAATTAAAACTTATAGAAAAGTGGAGAGAATAATAAAAATGAACCCGTAGGTATTAATCTCTCAAATTCAACAATGATCAGTTCATGGCCAATCCTGTTCACCCATACCTCCATGGATTACTTCTCCCTCTCCTAAGTTATTTTGAAACAAATCCCAGATTATTATAGCATTTGTAGTGCAGCCTAGGTATCTGGGGTCAGGGGCCCCCTAGGTTTTAAAATCATGCTTCCCTACCATTTATACTGTATGTTTGTTCATTTACTTATAAAATGTGTAGATGTTTTACTGTACCAACATGTTACGCACACTCTAAAATGTTTACAAAAAAAATAGAAATTGAAATAGACAACAAGAGCTAATATGGGGCAAAGAATAAAACAGGGGTAGGTCAAAAACTCATTTATTAACTTAGCCGCTGACTATTCATTAAGTTGCTACAAGCCAGGTCCTACTTTTATGCTTAGGCTGCATCTGTGGACAAAACAGGGGGAAACCCTGCCTCTGTGAGACTTACATTCTAGCAGAAGGGAAACAGGCAAAAAGCAATAACCAAAACAAATAAGAAAGCAAAAGAGGATGCTGGGAACTGCATGGAATCAGGACTGAGGTATAAAGGAGGGCTGAGCACATGCGTCCAGTTTTGCTCCTTTCTGAAACCCACGAAAATGACAATAACGTGTTTTTTGTTTTATTTTTGCAATGACAAAATGTATAAGGTGAAGGAGAAGAAGGAGACATCAGAGTGATAATAGTTGGAAGGCTGGAAATATGGCTGGATGAGTAGTCATTTCCATAGTAGATTTGTTAGAACCAAATCCTAAGCCACAAACTAGGAGGGCTGAGCAACATCCAGATTTCTAGCACAAGAGAAGCCATCATACCAGGTACCTTTGGAACCAGGAAGAAGGGGGTACAACTAAGAGAAGAAGAATTCGATTAAAAACATATTTAAAAACACAGTCCCTACAACCCCTCCCCCATTGTATGACACTGGTCAACTGTCCCTTATCTGCCCCAACAAAAGGTTTATTCTCTGCAGAGTGTAAACCAACGGCTTTCTGCACTGAGGGACAGCAAGCACAGTTGAGAGCATGGGTACTGTGTCATTCCGGGGAGGAGAAACTCTCATTTCAAAGGATCAAGAATTAGAATAGCTTCTGATTTTTGCACCAGTAGTAACTTCAAATTCAGGAGGAAGACGATTTCCAATAAGTTCCTAGAATTCCATACCACACAGTGATGGTTAATTTTATGTGTCAACTTGACAGGGCCACGAGGTACCCAGACCTTTGGGCAAACATTATGCTGGGTGTGCCTGTGAGGGTGATGAACACTTGAATCGACAGACTGAGTAAAGCAGATTGCCCTGCCCAACGTGGGTGGGCCTCATCCATCCGCTGAAGGCCTGATTAGAACAAAAAGACTAAGAGAGAACTCCTGCCTCCTGACTGCCTTTGAGCTGAGACATTGGTTTTCTCTCTGACATCCTTTCCTGCGCCTGCCTTATCTCGATCACGCACCGATAAAAGTCCCTCTTCTCTCTCCGTGCCTTGCTGCTTGGGTTAGCTGAGGACACTCATTTCACCCCACATAAATGTTCTACTTCGGCCTGTTCCTAAGAATAGGAAATAAGCCATAGTGACAGCTTAGAAGCAGAAAACATAACAACCACTTCCTCTGATGTATTTCTTTTTTTACTTTTTTTTTCCAATTTAATTCTTTTTTTAAAATTTTTTTATTTTTTTATTTTTTATTGCTTAAAGTATT